TTCAAACTCAAGCACAGTGCTACACAAACTGAAGTGGAGCAGAGACAGACCTCAGCAAGTAGAGAGGAGTCTGTCTCACCAAGTTCTTCAGCCCCATTCCCAGACCATGCAGAGCCCTGGGAAGGGCACACTGCTTCCCTCACTGCAACTCCACGCATCCAGGTAAAAGACAAATCTAGGGCAAGTGATTTTCATTGCATCTGCTATTAGGAAACTGTCTCAAAGCTAATTAGTATCTATAGCAGGAGTTCTCTATTGCAATTTTATTGAACCTGAAAACAAATAACCCTGCCAAGCAGCTGTCCCATTATATTTTATACATACCAGATGCTAATAAGCCTCTGATAATTTCTGCTCAGTTGCAACTTTAAGCAGTAACACCTCCCTCCTCAGTTTAATATGCCTCCAGAGCCTTACGAAATCTCCCATCAAAGTATTTGTTTGATAACTTATCAGCTGCTCATGCTACTGTGCTGCTGGCTGAGCTCTTCAGAAAATTATAAAGCTGTGTTTACACTAATGACATTACTGTAAATACAGAAAATGGATACAATTTCACTTTGGATCTGAGTTTCATTCTCAAGTACCACTCCCCCAAGCTGTCAGAAAACCAGTGACACTGGAAACTAAAGGCAATGGCACAGATGAAGTGTAAAAAACATTTAGAAATGAGCTGCTGCATTAGAGATTGATACATTATTCCCACGGGATAGAAGAGCAGGCAGAAACTCATTAGCATTTGGAGCCTTACTTTTTTATTCTATTTCATTTCTCCCTATTCTCTTATATTTCTTTTTAGGTTCCTAAATGCAACCCTGACATTTTGCTCATCTAAGAATACAATGACCATTCAACCTAGTTAACACGGCAGTATCTAATCCACACTCACAGAAGAGAAGTGGCCACATATATGTATAAACCATTATTGTTGAACTATATTACCCCCCGCTCCCAATTCTCATGATTAAATCATAGGAAGAAACTATCTTCTTGTGTTTTAAGCTGGATCAGATAAAGAAGACCAGCAAAAATTGCAAGCAGGATTATTGTATGATTCCCATGAACCTTGCTTTTTTTCCTCCTCAAGATTTAAGGGACAGGATCCGTAATATGATTGTTTTGAAAAAAGTTTGCAATTTTACTTTCTCTTAGGAAATCATGACGTGTGAGTCCCATCCAGAGAGAAGCAGGGCTGTCTTGATAGATATAAACTTCCATCTTAGATAAAAGCTTCTGAAAAGCAGACAGATTAGACATCCTATTTCCATTGAAAATGCCTGGGATTTCTGTATTTAAGTCTACTTTGTGCTCTGAAATTTCTCCCGTTTGAACTGTTTCTTTGAAGTGTTGATTTTTAAAATTTTTTAATGTATTCTAAACCTGGTTATATTGAGGAAAGCAAGCCACAGACACAGGAAGAGCAGAAAAATAAAGAGAAAATCAGCATGAGTTCTCACCTAGCATGTCTGCATATCGTACATATTTCCCTTTTTCCAGATGGGAGATTTATCTTGAGTTTGCTGCTGTATATTTAGACACATACAAATTGTTGCCCATTCTTTTATCAAAGGGAGTAGAAATTCTCTGCAAGAACATAAGTTTCACTCCCAGCTAACAGGGACGAGTTCCCACTTACTGCTGAGTTTCTCTTTTTGTAATTTTGGATTCTCCATCCATGGTAATAACCCTAGAGATCTGCTATGGGGGAAGCAGGGGATTTTAGTAATTGAATGGGAGAAGACTTCACTTGCTGTTAGTGGCAAGTCTGCTACCTACGGAATAGATTCCGCAGGGCATGACAGAAATGGAGAATAAATTTTGGCTACTTAGTAAAAACCACAAAGGCAAAAACACCTACAGAGCCACATGAGTTTAGTCCATTTGGGTATGGCATAAATACACTTTGCAAGGAATGATATGAGATTTGATGCAAGTGTAATGTCTTTCTGCTCACCCTTACAAAACAAATCTAAAACCATCTTCAGGACAGAGAAAAAAATTTGTGCACAGGGGAGCTGGTCTGACAGGACCCAGGTGGATGGGAACCAAGCCATACCAATCTCCATAGCAAAAGCTTCTCCTCAGGAAATCCTAATACGTGCATTTCAGACGTGTAATCCTGACCCTGTGCCTGCCAAGGAGACCGGGTCTCAGGCTGCTCCTCCGGAGTGATGCTCCTGTGGGTCTAACTCACCCCTGCAGGCTCTGAGCTCTTAATTAGGGACTGTCCTCTTCGGGGAGCGTGGGAGAAGCCCCACTTGATTTGATTAAGACCAGAGACAAGCTGACTGTGAACCCTTGGGAAAACGGAGATCCCTGGCTCTCCCATTGGGTTATCTTCTCAGTTGGAAGTGAGGGACTAGATCCTCTGCTTCCACTCACCCCTACTCTATTTTACCCTGGTTCAGGATTTGGCCCATATAGTTGTTGCTGGGAGGCACAGGGGAAAACTAGATCTAAGCTCTCTGCAAATGAGCATGTTGGGACTTAGTTAAATATCTGGTCCCATTAAAGACTAGAACTGAGCTAAGTGGGAAAAGGGACATTTAGGAAGGTGAAGAAGAATTTCCTTAGGATGTCCGGGTAGAGCACCTGCCTGTGACACAGACTGAGGTGCTCTTGATACTCACCAGGCACAGCAGAACTGGAAGAAGGGAGTGAGGAAGAAGATGCCCAGATAAGGGTCCATGTGAAATATAAAATCCAAATACAGAGAGAGAAAGGAGATCCTAAAAAAAAAAAAACAAAAACAAACACCCAAACCTTGGGTATCACCAGAGGAAAAAGAGAATAAAAAAAGAGAAACACAACAAAATTAAGGAAGGGATGGAGCTATTTTCCACCCGGCAGTCCTAGTGTGATGAAGAGATGTATGCCCCCTGAATCCCAACTTCTGTGAAGGGTAACCAATCCTAAAGTAAGAGCTAAAGGGGGTTGGTGAAATGGAGCCGCAGAACTTCCTAAGAAGAGATTATCTACTTAATTAAAGATTTTTTTTTCCCTAAGTCCTTCAGCCAATCAGGACTCAAGTGCCAGAGAGAGATTGAACTGATGAAAAGAACACCCCAGGTTCCTCGAAGACAAATGCACCACGAAAGGGATAAGAGGGAGGGAAAAGGGGAAAACAAAACAAAACAAAAAAAAAAAAAAAAAAGGAAAAAGAGAGAGAGGGATAAAGAAAGAGACAGCAAATCCCTTAAATAATCACTGGATTCAATCTCCACCACACTGCCCTGCCTCTCCATCCCCTGCAAAGGCAACTGGAAGGGCTGCTCTTGGTGTGCGCTTGCCTCCTCTTGACTTGGAGACATCGCTGGGCGTGCTGGGTGCTCTAGGGTGGGGGGCTTGGGTTTGGGTCACCTGCGCCTGCTGCTTGGAGCCATGCAGCGTGCTTCAGGGAAATCGCTGGGAAACACATACGTGAGCATCATCTCTGCCTCAGTCTCCCCCAGGAATTTAAGCGGAATCAGGGCCAGTTCCTAACTCCATCTGCTCCTCCTTCAGCATGGTGACTTCCCACCTCCTGTTTGTGACATGTCTCAGGAGAAAGGCCTCTGACTAAACTGTCCTGTTCCCCTTTATTTTTTTCCTTTTGGTGTTTCCTACGAAGTCCATGGGAGAGGGTCTTTGGTTTGGGACAGTCAGCAGTCTCTCAGTGGTGTCTTATCCCAGGCGAAGGGCTCCTGGAGCTACTTAGAAGTCCATCCAGCCTGTGTCCCCTGGCCATGTGGGACATCTCAGTTACTGTCACACTACCCACCACAGCCACTCTGACCAGCCCTAGCTCAACAGGACCAGCTGCGTCACCCTGTCCCAAAGCCATAGGAGCAACTTCTCCACACTACGGAGCTGATTTTTGTGCTGTGGACATAATCAGCTAGACCATGGGCTAAGACCAATCAAACTCATTTCACCTGGGATACAGCTGCTGGGCAGAAGAGCTGGACCAAGGCAGGATTTGAAGGGGAACAAGACCCCGTGGCAGAGCCATCAGGCAGGGTTGGCTGGAGCTCTTAGGACCACCTCAGGTGGATGGAAGTCCCTCCTGGGTTGTGCAGTTTTGGGGAGGGAAACCTGCCCAGCAGAGATTTACTCTCAGCCAGACTTTGGCCACCCCATGCCAGAGACCAGCTCTGCTCAAGCCATGGAGTTCCAGCCAGGCACAAGCAGGGCACAGCACATTGGCAAGATGCTACCTTTGACCAGAGTGCTGCCCCCCAGAGCTCTCACCCTGGGGGTGGCTGAGTGGTATGGAAGGACCTAGGTGAGGAGACAATACAATTACTGATCTCAGGGCCAGCGGTGCCTCCTAGCTGCACCCTACTACAGCAAGGCTGAGGGTATTTGGAGTAATTAAAGCTCCAGCTCGAGGACCCATGAGGATTTTAAAAACTAAGGTGTTATGTACAATGAGAAAAAGCTTGCAAATTTATCTAGTAGAAGGCAAAACATCAGAAACTGAAAAGTGAGGGAAATAAGGCCTTTATTATTTATTTATTATATTGAAATAGAATTTCAATACTGTGGTGTTTAGCATGGTTTAATGGTTTTGGTGGGCTAATTCAATGGTTTTGGTGGCTGTGCTCTCTCTACCACAACAGGCTGTCCTAGACCCAGTGTAGACAGCAGCTGCAGAGGTGGATGCTGCCCCAGGTTTGCTGAGGGGCTGCCAAGGCTGCCTGCCCTGCAGGGGCTCAGCCCTGCCGGGACATTGCTGGCGGGATACAAGGGATGCTGCCATCCTGCACTCGGCATTTATTTCCGCGGGGCAGGAAGAAGAATTCCAGTTCTTTCCTGTAAGTCTCCAATGCCTGCTTCAGGACTCTTGAACCAGAGTTTTCTAATTCCTCAGGTCCAGCAGCAACAGCATTTTGAAATCATGCGACACTTGAGACATGTCTCAGCCAACTGGAAAGGAAGAACACTATTGGGTTTACTGGGGTGAGCTATTTTGGTTTGTTCCAAGACAAATTAAGTAAGGGGATTGCAAAAATGAGGAAACAAATAATTGTAGGTGATCTAAAAGAGAGGAGGAATTTACTTTTTTTTGTTAGCTGTTAATTACAAGAGGCAACCAGGCCTTCCTCCAGGCTCAGAGCAGCATCAGCAGCATCAGGGTGTTTCGGAGCCAGCAGCCCCCCCATTCAATTTCTAATTTCAGTTAAATTCAACAGCCATTTTCCTGGAAACAAGCATGTTTTTTCACGTCAAAGTGACTGGAGGCAAAGCCTGAAACAAAGCTGTCCCAAACCTATTTCAAAGATTTAATTACAGCTCTCAAAGCCTGTTTAATAGGCTCTATGAGGTACTATCTAGAGATGCAAAATTGTGTTATAATGTTACTCAAATTTTGTTATTGTTACTGACAAAAGCTCTGTATTTTCTAAAATGGCCCCAAAGAGCATTAAAATACACTTTATGGCCAGAAGGACCGGTATGTTTATCACATCTGACCTCTTGGCCAATACAGATCTCTACTGACCTTTGCACTGAGTGCTGTAATGTGGTTTTGACTATTTGCTCATCTCCCAGAATGGCAGATAGGGTTTGAGAACAACAGGAGATAGAGAACCTGTCACCATCTGTGGCAATTTGTTCCAGCTTGGTAAAAAAATAACAACCCAAAATACTAATATAAGACGTCTGATGTCCAGAGAACAGGGAAGATCTGAACTGTCCTTAAGGAGCTTGTACAAGTAATCACAAAAAGAGTAACGTCTTTGCTGCCTTCCACACTGGTACCAATGCTACTGGTGGATACAAAAAACAAGGTTAAGGAGTGGGGGTAAAAATTACAAGTCTGTCTCACAGAGACCTCAAAAGTTTCTTGGTGTTAGTGCAAAGTGCCCAAAAGACAGATTTTTTAAAAGAAAATGACAATTAGAAAAGTCAAGAAGGAATTTAAAGTCTCTTATTTTAAAAGATATGTGAAAGGTATGGGATCAAATGAAAAGGAATGTATGTTGTTTAGACAGCACACAGAATTCAACCCTGGAAGAGCTGAAAAAGTCTCAGGAAGGTCTGGCTTCCCACTGCAGTAAGCAGATTTCCACTGACTTGGCTGCAGCTTTGCCTTTAGCACTAGGTAAATACATCTTCAATGGTGTCTAATGCCTGTCAGAACATCCCCAAGAAAGTGTGTTGTTTGCCATCCTGTACTGAACATGCCCTATGCTATTCTGGTCCTTCAGTCAAGCGGTTCCAGAAACAAAGGCAGACGAAGGCTGGGAAATTTCATAGCTTTTATTAGATCAACTGATATGCAATGGAAGAAGCAAACATGTTTTTTAAGCATTTTGGCTCTGAAAGGACAGGAAAGGTGCTGGTGTGCCCAGAAGTTTGTCTGTTTATATTTTTTTAGCTATATCAATCTGAGATTGTGCCATTAAAGACAGCATTGACACACCCCAACACTCAAATGTCTCCATGACCTCTTTGCTGCAAACGTGACTTTGTAACCTTTACGTTTCCTAACTCTGCTCTCTGCATTAGTGACACATGCTGAGCAGCATCCCATAAGGTCTGCTGTGCTTTAACAGTACTGAATGTATTCTCACACTTGCAGGTTCTCCTTACGGTTCACACAGGAACAGCTCAGTGGATCCTTGCCTCCTGCAGTGAACTGTATGATGGGACACATCCATCAGACATCCCATAGGGAGTGCCTTCCACCAAACCATGGGGAAAGGCTCAGATGTTTGGGCTGTTCTCCAGCTGCTGCAGAAAAGCTTAAGGTGTGCACAAGAAAATTATTTCACATCAGCTTCAAGGGAAAGTCAAAGGTCTCTAAGGAAACATCCTCTTTAGCCACGGTACATAGAAGTTGGTCGTGCTCTGGAGCAAGTGAGTTTAGAGCACTTTAAGAGTTCTGGTTCATCCATCGCCTGGGCTACAATGATTCCTTTATACATATTCTCAGTTACGGTACTAGATGATATTCCCTCTGAATGGTCATGACTTACTATGGTGGTGACTTGCACAGGCTCAAGCCGTGTTGGCCAAAAGAGTATTTCTTTTGACAGTCCAGAAAGCAAGAACGGGTCCAGGACATCTTTTTGTAGCACTCACCAACCCGGCAGCTGAGGGCTGCAAGAGGGAAAGGGACAGAAGTGCTGAGAGGTGGAATAGCTGGGGATGAAAATCAAAGGAAAAAGAGAAGGTGGTGTGTGTGCCATTAAAGGACAAGCAGGATCAGCTTGGAGAAGAACTGTGAGGGTGGGTGGGAATTTATGTCTAGCACTCCAGGAAGGTATAATTAGGACGAGCAGGATTGAGCGAGTCAAAGCATGTTCTTGGCTGGCTGGCAGGAGGTGAGATAACCCTGGAGGCAAGTGGGACCATACTGAGCTCCCAGGTCTAGCAACATACCCTGGCTGCTTGCCAGCCACACCTCGCTCCTGTCCCTGTGCACCTCGAAGGAAAGACAGACTCCCAAAGGGAATAGGAGCTACAGCACTCCCCAGCACGGCCCAGGCCACACACTACTGCTCATCCTGGGCACCGCCACCATCCTTCAGAGAGCTCAGGACACCACAGACAAGCTCAGGGACATGGGAAGTGAATGTCACAGTCATCAATGCAGGTGGCTCTGCAAAAGGAGCCTCTCCTCAGCACCCATGAGGGCTCTGCTTCTCAATGGGAGAATGTGCTTGGCCCCTGCATATAAAGATTTGCGGCATGGAAAAAAGGATAAAAATAAAACTAGGCAGAGACAGCCTTCTA